TTAGTTATATTTATAGTCCATTGTTAATTTATCAGGATTATTTTTAAATAAAGGTCCTGATAACTATAAAGCTGCATGTATGATTCTAGCAAACAATCCAATTCCTCCAGAATGCGAGCTATTTTACTTTGAAGTTAAAATTATAGATAAAGGAGAAAATGGGTAATAAATCAGCTTACTCAGGTTGACATTAATTAATCTAGACTAAATAATTGATCTATAATAGCAATTTTTATTTATTAAAAGGATGATTGGAGTCGGATTTTGCACAAAGCAAAATACAACAGTCAGTTCAAATACAGAATCGGACGGTCCAAATGTCATTCTCATGCCTGGTAATACGAATTTTTATTTTATTTTATTTTTCTTAATAATCATTATGTCTTAATACCTATGTAATAATCCTAGGACAGGAAAATAATTCATGGGGTTATCATGGCGATGATGGATATTCTTTTAGTTCTGGAAGTGGTGTACCATATGGACCACCATATACTACTGGAGATACTATTGGATGCTATTTGAACTTTAGAAATAAGATAGTATTTTACACTAAAAATGGTGTAAACTTAGGTAACTATATACTTAGAATGTGATTTTATTAATTTATAAGCAATGATATAATACTTTATACAACTTATTTAAGGAATTGCATGTTATCTACCTAACGACTTGAGTGACGTACTGTATCCTTGTATTGGACTAAGATCTCAAGACGGGTCTGTGAAAGTAAATTTTGGTCATAAAAAGTTCAAATATTCTGGTAAATTTAATTGGTACTATATGATTTATATGGTTGATATGTTTAAGATTTTATATGCATTATATTTTATTACGTGTATATAAATAGCAATGACTAATGAAGATATTGGAAATAATGGAAGTAAATTAGAAAGAACCAATACGCATATAAAAAACTGGATTAAACCAAGCAATGGAATTTCATTAAAATATCAAAAAAAGGTTTATCCCATTATAGGCAGATATGAAACAACACTTCCTATTTTAATTAATAAATTAACAAAATCATTAGAAAGCCAACCAAATAATGTATTTGAATTAAGTTATCGAGGAAAAGTATATTTTATTATAGGAAAATATGAAGAAGCACTTGTAGATTTGAATAAATTACTGGAAATTAAACCGGATAATATAATATCATTAAGATACCGAGGAGAAACATATTACATGATGAAAAAATATGAAGAATCCCTTGCAGATTTTGAGAAATTATTGGAAATTAAACCAAATGATACATGGATAATTGAGGCTCATAAATTAGTTAAAGAAACGTAAGTATAATATAATCGGCATCATAAAACAGTTTTAAAATTAATGTTCAACAAATATAATTTATTTATATCAGTCTGTGAGTATTAAAAGTCAAGATAACTCTAACATCAAAATAACAACATTAACCAATGCACATACGTATTACAATATAACTATGCTAGTTCGTAAGTATATTGTATCAGATTTTTTTATTTTTTTTTAGACAGAAATCATAATAATTCCAACACAAAAATAACAAATACTAATCAATACACATACACTACGCTAGTGAGTAAGTATACTGTATCAAACAGAAGTCATGATAATCATAACATAATAACTAACATTAACAAACGCATACACGTTACTACGCTATAATAGTTAGTAAGTATACTATATCAGAATATTCTTTAAACAAAACTTACGATAATTTTGACACACCATTAACAAACGCACATATATCACCATAATAACTGCTAGTCGGTAAGTATAATATATCAGTATATTTGTTTTTAAACAGAAGTCAAGATAACTCCTAACAAATGTAATACGCCACTACAATCACTACGATAGTGAGTAAGTATGCTATATCAGAGTTTTTTAAACAGGAATCACGATAATTATAACACCAAAAATAACAAAACTAACGCAACACATCGTTACGCTACACTAGTTAGTATGTATACATCAGAATATTTGTTTAAGTAGAAGTTATAAAAAAAATAGCAACATTAACCAATGCACATACCTCACTATTATACACTAGTTAGTAAGTATACCGCAGCAGAATTTTTTTAAACGGAGTTCACAACAATTCCAACACCAGTAACGACATTAACGAATTAACCAATGCACGTACTACACTATATTACACTAGTTAGTAAGTATATTGTTTTAAAAATAGAAGCCACGATAGACTCGATTAAAACATTAAAAATAATAACAAATAATAATACACTAACAAATGCATATACGTTACTACAATACATTATGCTAGTCGGTAAATATATTATTGTATTGGAATACTTTTAAACAGAAGTTACGATAATTCAAATACAAAAAATAACGTATTATGCTACACTAGTTAGTAAGTATATCCTATCGGATATTTTTTAAATAGAAGTCACGTAATTCCAACAAAAATAACGAACTAACTTACGCACATACGTCACTACAATACACTACGCTAGTCGGTAAGTATACCTTATCAGAATATTGTTTGTACAGGAGTATTATTAATTCCAACAAAAATAATACGACATTAACCAATATACATACATCACTACAATACGCTACGCTACACTAGTTAGTAAGTATATTGTATCAAGATTTTTTTAAACAAAAGCCACGATAATTCTAATATCTAAATAACAACATTGACTAATTCATGCATTATACAATACATTACGCCAGTCGGTAAGTATGCTGTATCAGAATTTTTCTAAACAAAAGTCGCGATAACTCTAACATTGTTAATCAATCGTCACAACTAGTGAGTAAGTATACTATATAAGAATTTCTTTATAAACAAAAATCACGATAATTCCAACACGACATTAACCATGCGATACGCCATTACAATACGCTGCATTAGTGAGTAAGTATACTAAATCAAAATGTTTTAAACAGAAGTTATAATAATTCCAACACCAAAAATAACACATTAACTGATACAAATATGTTATCACAATCATTAGATAGTAAGTATATATTTTTAAGCAGAAGTTAAGATGATTCTGATAATTCCAACACAAAAAAGACACAACACTAACCAATGCACATTACGATACGCATACCACACCACACTAGTAAGTAAGTATACTATATCAGATTTTTTTATACAGAATTCGCGATAATCCCACCACAACGTTAACCAATGCAAAAAATACGTCACTATACTAAACTACGCTACAATAGTTAGTGAGTATATTATGTCTGAATTTTTTTTTTAACCCAAAGTCACGATAATTCTAACGCAAAAATAATACATTAGTTAGTAAGTATACAATTTCAGGTGTCTTAAACAGAAGTCACAATAATTCCAACACAAAAATAACGTTAACCAATGTAATATCTCATTTACATTACACTAGTGAGTAAGTATACTATTTGTTTCAACAGAAGCCATGATAATTCTAAGAAATAACATAGCATTAACCAATACACATGTCACTAAAAATACGCTACGTTAGTGAGTAAGTATTATCAGAATATTTCTCGATAATTCCAACATAAAAACTAACATTAACCAATGTACATATATAACCACACTACGCTAGTGAGTAAGTATACTGTATCAGAATGTTTTGAAACAGGAAGTTACTATAATTTTAACACAAAAGAATAACACAACATTAATCAATGCACATACGTCACTATAATCCATTACGCTAGTATGTAAGTATGCTGTATCAGAATATTTTGTTTAATCAGAAGTCTTGATAATTCCAACACAACATTAACCAATGCACTATGCTAGTCGGTAAGTATACTATATTTAGAGCTTTTCTCAACAAAAGTCATAATAATCCCAACACCAAAAATAACACCATTAACTAATGCATATATACTATACTACATAAGTTTGTAAGTATATTATTTTTTAAACAAAAGTCAAGATTAGAGGTGCGGACATAATATTATTGTCTGCACCTCTAATAAAGATAATTCTAATGCAAAAAATAACATTAACTAATCCACATATTACTACATACACTACTCTAGTTCGTAAGTATATTGAATATTAGAATATTTTTTTTAAGTAGAAGTCACAATAATTATAACACAAAAAAATAACATCAACATTAACCAATACAAATGCGTCACTACAATACATTATATTTCATTAGTTAGTAAGTATACTGTATCAAAATATTTTTTAAACACAAGCACTATAACTCCAACATAGCATTAACCAATGCACATATATTACTACGCTAGTCGGTAAGCGCACTATATCAGTTTTTTTTTTTTTTAAACAGAGGTCACGATGACTCTAACACAACGTTAACGATTGTTGTAATATGCAATACGCTACGCCAGCGAGTAAGTATACTATATCAGTATATTTTTGAAAGAGAGGTCACGATAATTTTAACATAAAAATCACACAATATGCTATACTAGTTAGTAAGTATACCGCATCAGAATATTTGTTTCGAACAGAATTCTCGCTAAGTCATGTACCAATAATAATACAAAATTAATCAATGCACAATACGTTATACTATATAGTTAGTAAGTATACTGTATTAGAATTTGTTTTAGCATAAGCCACGATAATTTCAACATAAAAAAATGACATTAACTAATGCACATACATCACTACACTAGCCTGTAAGTATGCTTTATCAGAATATTTTTTAAAACAGAAGTCTCGATAATTCTAACAAATAACAACATTGATCAATGCACATATGTCTCTACGATACACTACACTAATTAGTTAGTAAGTATATTGTATTACACGATAGTCATGATAATTTCAACATAAAATAACAACATTAACCAATACACATACCTTACTACAATACTTCACGCTACCTAGCTAGTAAGTATGCTGTACCAGAATATTTTTTAAATAGAAATCGTGATAGTTCTAAAAGAATAATAACATTAATTGATGATACACATACGTCACTACAATACACTACGTTAGCCGGTAAGTATACTGTATCAGAATTTTTTTTTTAAAAGCAAAAGTTGTAATTCCAACACAATATTAACCAATGCAAACGCCACAACAAAACACTAAACTAGCGAGTAAGTATACTATATTTGAATATTTTTTAGAGAAATCTCGATAATTCTAACACAAATGACAACACTACATTACACCAGTTAGTAAGTATACTGTACCGTATTACCTCAAAATAACGCCTGGGGTGTAGGTTAAAATTTTGGCCCGAATTAAGCTTAATTCGGACTAAAATTTTTAACCTACACCCCAGGCGTTATTTCGATGGTATCGGAATATTTGTTTAAAGTTTCGATAGTTCCAGCACCAAAAATAACACAACATTAATCAATGCACGCGTGTCACTACAATTCGCTACGCTAGTTCGTAAGTATACTATATTAAAATATTTTTTCTAAATGGAAGTCATATTAACGCAAAAAATAACCAATGCATTTATATCACTTCAATACACTACACTAGTCGGTAAGTATATTGTATCAGAATATTTTTAAAATAGAAGTTATAATCCAACGCATTATTGACAAACACGCATATGTCTTACAATGTACTACGTATACTAGTCGGTAAGTATTTTGCATACTGTATCTTTTTTTTAAACAAAAGTTACAATAATTCTACACAAAAAATAAAACAATATTAACCAATACACGTATGTCACTACAATTCTACGCTAGTCTGTAAGTATACTTATTAGAAATTTTGGAATTAGCTATTTGTTAATTCAATCAGGAAGCATTTATATTTTGACCATGTGTCGTTATAACATACCATTTTACACTTCCAGATTTAATTCAGGATTCCATAATTGGACAAGTGAAAATGTTAATATTGATGACTTTATTCAACAAGCACAACTTAAAGCTGAAAGATTTAGTGAAGCTATTGAATGGATTCCTTTTAATAAATTTGCAAATATAAAGTATCTTTCTAAGGGTGGCTTTGGTACTGTTTTTAAGGCAATATGGACTGATGGATATATCATAGGATTTGATGAAGTTAATAATAAATGGAAGAGAAGACCGCAAATAAATGTCTGTTTAAAAAGTCTTATTGAATCTGCACATTCAACAAATGAATTTTTAAAAGAAGTAAGAGTAATACAATTTTTATTATTTAAACATAGTAATCTTATTTATTCTAATCAATATTTTAGGTTGAAAGTCAGCATAAACATGGTGGTGCCTCAGCAATTGCAATTTATGGAATAACTAAAGATCCGAATAACACTGATTATATGATTGTTATGCAATATGCAGAGCAAGGAAGTCTTCGAAAATTATTAGATAGTAAATATTATGACTTAAATTGGAAAAGTAAAGTGGCTAACTTATACTATATAGCTCAAGGGCTTAACACGATCCACCAGGCAGGACTAATGCATAAAGATTTTCATTCAGGAAATATAGTTGCTCAAAATATTTTTAGTTCCTTCATTACGGATTTTGGTTTATGTAAGCCTGTATCTCAAGACTCAACTACTAATGAAATATTTGGCGTACTTCCTTACGTAGCTCCAGAGGTGTTGCATGAAAAAAAATATATGCAACAATCAGATATTTACTCTTTTGGAATAATTATGTCAGAAGTTTTTACTGGATATCCACCATATTATGACACCCCACTCAATCAAAATTTAGCAATTCAAATTTGTAATGGTCGTAGACCTGAAATCAAATGTGAAGTTCCTCAGTTACTTTTAGATTTAATGAATGAATGTTTAAATGCTGAACCTCAAGAGCGGCCAACCGCTATAGAATTAGTAGATATGCTAAAACAATATCTAAATGATCTATATTCAGAAGAAACCGAATTATATAAACAAGCTGAAGCAATTGAAAATTCAATAAAAAAGTTACCAGCTTATAAAGCTAATTCAGTACGGCTTAATTATCAAACACGTAATATTTATACCAGTAAGTCTTTAAATTTTCAAGAACTTCCCAAGCCAACAAATGCAGGTAATATTTTGGTTTATATATTTTTTAATTACAATAAGTAGGTTTAAGTTATATATATTTAATACATTATTAAATTATATTAATTTGTTTTTAGATGTTGTAAGTAAACCCATGGACTTTGTCGAGACTCCTTATGGTAAGCATGATATTAAACTTATTTATGCATAACGAAATAAATTATTTATATTTATATTTTATAGACATTTAGATTATTATACAAATTTTAGTATTAGTATATTTATTATTTTTTGTTAAATTATTATTTGATATTTATTGTTATTATATATATTAAATTGGATTTATTTTAATAAGATTTTAAAGTTTTAAATATTTATTATTTTTTTAAAAGTTAGATTAGAATTGAAAATTATAGTTGTTATAAATAATTTTTGTATTTAATTAGTTAAATATAAATTTTATTGTTGAAGATATTCATTATATCAATTAAATTATAATTAGATTAATATTTATTTTATAATAGAAAAATTAAATAAATTTAGTTGGTCAGTTTTTAAATTATATAATTACTTTTTTTTATAATTATAATTATATATTTATTTAATAATAAAATAAAAGTATAATGAGGTTGTTATCCTTCAAGTGGCAGGTCTAATGTTCAAATCCCACTTATGATAAAATTTGAAAATTAATCTGTATTATAGTAATTGTCTTTTGTCAATTAGTTAGTCTCATGTGGTTGTAATTTAGATATATCAAGTTGGGTCTTATCTGTTATTAGAAGCTCAGAACATTTATGTAAAGTATAATATTAGATATATATAGAGAAATATTCTAACTAATATTATATAAGACTTTGATACAAATTTATAATAAGACTACCAGTCATAAAAGACTAAAAAAACAAGAAGTCAGAAACTTATTTGAAAATTTCCAAGTAAAAAGATAGTATAAACTTTTAATAGTATTATTAAATCAGTTAAAGCTTATAAAACATTTTTATAGAAATAGATAAATAAACTAGATACCAAGATGTATAGAAGAGCATATTACTAACCAGGTCATTAGAATCACTAAAGAAAAAAAATATTAAGGTATACTATACCAGGTCATCTGAATTAAAAATTTAAAAAGTTTATTAATTCAGAATTATAACTAGTAGAAGATAATGAAAAAGATATTAGAAAGATGAATACTAGAGTTTTAGTAAATTTTACAAAAGTAGAAATAGTATAACCTAGCAGCTAAAAAGATAACCTCTATAATTACAAGTATTGAATAACTATAATATATTGCATAAAACTAGATTAGCTATATATAGGACATAATAGGTTTTAGTAAGTCTTTTGTCAAAGATAAAGTAATTTTAAAAGTACCAATAAGCATTAGAACTTGAATAAGCACATTCTGAAATATTTCTGTAATACAAGAAAATTGTATATGCAAAGAGTTTAAATAGGCAAGACCTATAGTTGACTTGCAGATATAGTATTTAGTATAGAATCTGTATAGTAATGTATAAGCAAATTACTTAAATTAGACACCAAAGTGTATATATAATTAGTTGTAATTTCTAATATATAAGAACCTTTGGAGACATCTATGTTCTACAAACTTAAATAAAAATATTGCAGTCTAAAGATAAAGATTTTAATATAAATAAAAAATAAAAAAAATAAAAGTATAATTATATGAAAGTATTATTATAAAATTATTTATAAATATATAAGATATTTTTTATTTTTATTTATTTATTTTTTATTTATTTATTAAGACTAATGTCTACAATAGCTAATACCTTTAACTGTGTTTTTAGTTAATATATTATATAGAGAGTTGCTATTTTCACCTCCTATTTTTGCTAATGCCACCTTCCAAAATACATAAAAGTGCTCTAGAAGGGATATTATTATTAAGTAAACCTCTTTTTTGGTATTAATTAAAGTTGTTCATTAGACTTTTCCGGTTCTAATGGTAATAAATTTATTAAATTCAGACTAATAGTTCTTTTTTAAAAGTGGATTAAATATTATAGATTTCAGGTATAAATATTTCAAGAACCACTAGTTTAAACTTAATGATTTTACTACTATTAGAACCAGAAAGATCTAATGAACAACTTTAATTAATACCAAAAAAGAGGTTTACTTAATAATAATATTTCTTTCAGAGCACTTTTATGTATTTTAAGAGGTGGCATTAGCAAAAATAGGTGGTGAAAATAGCAATTCTCATTATATATTACTTATATAAGATAAGTATGCAATTAGTATATATGCAACTTTGATTATTTATTTAAGTAGTTTATTTGTAGATTTTACACTAGTTGTTATACTTATAATCTATTAGAAGATTATTTATTTAAATATTTTGATCCTTATACTGCATCTAAATAGTAGTTAACTTAGTTTCTATACAACTAAGTATTATTTTACCTAATATTTAGTCTTTTTTTCTATATGTTTATTAAGCCATTATCTATTCCAGAACATATTATTTAACTATAAAATTCAAGATGCTTTTTTGTTAACTAATCTACTTACTTTATAAATTATTAACGAAACTAGTTCTTATAGAGTTCATCCAAATCCTGCTAACTACTTCATAGTATATTTTTAGTACTTTTAGTATACTTCTGGTTTTTTTTTAAACTCTCAATTTAAATAGCTCAGTAGAACTACACCTAATTTATTAATATATTAAATTAGATATCTTTTTCTTTGATCTTTTTAGTTAGAATTCTAATGATCTAGTTGGTAATATCTTTACTTGAAGATTTTAACCTGTTTGAATACTCTTTATTGATATTTATTTTCTAGATCTAATCTTTATAGTAGTACTATTGAAGATCTGTATTACCTCTCTACTTGGATCTTTTCAATAAATTTCTTGTTCTCTAATTTTTACAAATTTATATAATTACAAGAACTTATATTGGGTTTGTATTATCTGATGCCAGTTTAAATTTTTTTGTATAATTAGTTATACAGATATCACATAATATACCAGTTATACTAATACAATTATAATTATAAGTATCTTAATCTAATTGTTAGAAACAGTAGCTATAATACAAATATTATATAAATAATTGTTCAAATTTTTACTATATATAAGTTTTAAATTTACAACTTACTACTTAGTGAGTTAACAATTTATTTATTTTATTAAGTCACTATATTTCTTATATTTTTTTATTAAAATAGCTTATTTTTATATTTTAAAAATATTTATTTTATTTTATTTTTTAATAAATACATATTTAAAAAATTATTTATTATAAAAACAATTACTTTAAATAATATATAAAAATTATTAATAATAAATTTTATATAAGACATATGACAACTTAGTAAAGTAGATAAATTATTAACCCTCTAAGTAGTAGGTTGGGGGTTTTTTTTTAAATATTAAGATAAATACTTGTGACTCGGGATTTTATTGATAATATATTTAGCTAATGATTGTATTACAACTACAAAAGCCAATCATAAAAAGAGTGTACAACTAGACACTCATACAACTTTAGTTATTGTCTGATTTAAGTAGTCTACTCAAAGATTCTATACTAGTTGTCATATCTAAAACCTGCTTGTAGGTTCTCTATTTAAAAACTTTAGTTTCTGTATTTATTCACCTACTTTTGCCTACTAATGACCTTAGCTGATAGTAGGTTGAGTATTTAAAACCTATTAATAACAAAAATTTAAAGAATTACCTATATAATACTTATATTACAGCAACTATTTCTAATAATTAAATTAAGATATCTGTAATAATGATTACAACAGTATAACTAACAAGTTATAAGTATTTGTATAACTAATTATACTAAGAAATTCAAACTAACATTAGGTAATGCAAATTTTAGATAATTTCTTGTAGCTGTATAAATCTATTGAAATTAGAAAACAAAAAGTTTATTTAAGAAGACCTAAGCAAAAAGAAAACATAGATCTTAAATATTACTACTATAAAGACTAGTCTTATAAAATAAATATTAATATAAAAAAACTAAACAGACAAGAACCTTTAGGTTAAAGGTATTACCAATTAGGTTAACAGAATAAATTAAAAGAAAAAAATATTAGACTAATCTAATATACTAATAGACTGATTATAGTTCTATTAAACTATTTGAATTAGAAGTTTAATACAAATACAAAGTATACTAAAATATTTTAGATATACTGTAAAGTAGTATTAGAGTTTAAGTAAACTCTGTAAGAATATAGCAGTTTAATAACTAATTCTAAATACAAGTGTTAGTTTTATTATAATAATACTGAATCAGCTATAAAAATAGGTACAGAAGATTTAATTTAAAAATAAAATAGTTCTAAGATTAAAACAATATTTTGAACATAATCTAGTAATGTTAATACAGATAGCAGATTTAAAGAATTTAAAATAAAACATTTAAGCAAGAATATTAGATATAGCAATTAATAACAAACCTTTAGATTAACTCTTTAAATAAATAATATAAAAAAGTTATATATATAGCCAATTGTACACTTTTTTTGTGGCAGTTTATAGAATCACATTACCAAAAAAGTTATTAATAAAGGTTAAAAAACTAAAGAGATCATCTTAAAAAAATTTTACATAGTAAAAAATAGTTTAAAAAAGTCAAATATGTTTAAAATTAGTTTAATAAAGCTTATTTATAATATATATATATATATTTTTATATTAAGATAAGGCCTTGCTTATATCTTTATTAGTAGTTTAAAAGTTAGTAACTAGATAGAGCTGCTATATATAAAAAGTAATTTTCTATATAAATGCTATGACTAAAATCAACACTTGCAGTCAGAGCTAGACTATTAAACTACTAACTATATATTTATTTTTTTTAAATAATAAGATGAGTATTTGTAACTTAGAATTTTATTAATAGTATATTTGGCTAATAGTTGCATTACAACTACAAAAGGCAATTATAAAAAGAGTATATAACTAGCTACTTATATAACTTTAGTTATTGTCTAATTTAAGTAGTTTATCTAAAGGTTTTATACTAATTGTTATATCTGAAACCTGCTTGTAAATTCTCTATTTAAACATTCTGGTTCCTGTATTTATCTACCTACCTCTGTTTACTAATGATCCTTACCAATGCTAACAAAAATATATCATGGCCACTTATATAGAAAACCTTTAATCTTGTACTAAATCTTTTAGAATTTTTTGTATTTTATTTTTAT